TCATCGGGTGACGGGAGCTACACCGTTTAGTTTGGTTCACGGTCAAGAATGCCAGTATCCCATTGACCTCTTCTACGCGAAACCTCACGATGAAGTGTTGACGAAGGATGGTTTTGTAGAGAAACTGGATGAGCTTTTCCGAGATGCTCATAGCAGTGCGAGGGAAATCGTTGGGACGGATCAACGTCGACAGGAGGATCAGTATTGGAAGAAAGTTCATGGAGAAACCTATACAACTGGCGATAAAGTATGGGTGTGGGCGAAAGAAAAGTTCAAGTCGAAGAAGCACTTCAATCCGTGGGACGGACCTTATGTTGTACTGGCGAGAATGTCCGAGGTGAACTACAAGGTGGCAAAGGAGTCGACTACGAACAAAGTGAAGTGGAGTCAAAGAAGAGACAGCCCATTCAGAGGAGGCTACATCAAGTAAGCGACCGACACCTTACCGGTCGGTTAACTTCTTCGACGATCCGGAGATGTATGACGATGATGGGTTTTTATGGCAAAACAACCGGGAGGGTTTTAATCATGACCCAGGCCCAAGAAATGTACCAGTGAGACTGTTGCCTGTGAGAAATCGACCGACGGAACCACAAGTTAATCCAGCTGGGCGAAATGTGCGAAACAGGGTGATGCCCGAACACTTTGCTGATCCACCACAGCGAATGATGCGAGAAGTGGCTAGGAGGGAAGAAGATGCGGTTGAGACGTACGATGCGACGGAGCTGGAGGCCAGAAGGGAAGAGGAGAATGGCACTGCAGATGACGGCGGTCGACAAACTCGAGTAAGGAGACCACCTGTGAGGTTTGGAATCGACGAGTTTGTGAGTTAAAACTTACCTTAGTTTACTAAACTCTTTCTTTATCTCATTAGTTGGTGCTTGTTTGTATTCAGTGCGATCCCACCTGAACTGTTGCGCGGAGCATTGATAGTGATGATTATGAAAGTGAAAGGGTTGGATCGTACCATGAAGAAAAAAATTATTACAGTTATGTCCCCCCTTAGGTTAATCATTGTGCTATATTATTGTTTAGTTGATGGGGACTAACTGATGGGTCCGCGATCTTTAAAGGTGTTGCTTTATAAGACGGAAAGAGAAGGAAGACACGCGTAGGGCGTAGCGGAACGAAGCGTTATGGTAGGTTACACTTAGGCTTATTAGGTGCTACTTAACATTAATCGGGAGAATAAGAGACTAGAAGGGAAGACTGTAGAATTGGCGATTCTAAGGTATAACGTACATAGCTTTTCCTTTGAACCTTGAACATGCAAACTAAGTAGTAGTAGAGCTTAATCGTTGATTTAGTCTGGAGCAAGTGGTAAACAATAAAGTAGTTAAGTTAAGATCGAATTAAACTTGTGTTTACTTAAGTTCATGGAATTAATCCCCCTCCTTAGTGAAAATAGTCAATGCAACAGCTCACGAAAACTCCCCCCAATTCGGGAACTACCGAGGCGAACCTTATGAAATTTAGTGGAGTGATACTAGAGATGATTTGACCCGGACATGCAAAGAGCCGGATCCGCCCGACCCCCCGGGGCGAGTTATAACGGTACCCGGAAGTGCAAATGGCCCCACCGGAAATCCTTAACTACTGGTCCGATTGAGCTCATTTTTTTTATATGTGGTAGCCCTGGGCGAGGGAAGCTTAAGTTTGAAGTTTCGGAACCCCAAGGTCACCTCGGCCCGATTTACGCCCTAGACAACCAAACCCCCACCCAACTTCCGGCGGCTATTTCTCGACCCCCAGTGACCCTAGAGAGCTGAAACTTACAGGGATGGTAGATAGTGACATAGTCTATCGTATGTTAGGACGATGACCCAATTGGGCCAAGGGCACGGGCTATCAGCACTTGGGAAAATCACCCCTTGGAGGTGTTAATAGGCAATTTGCGAAAAATAATGCGCGAGGGCATATCGATTTTAAGGTACTTATGCGTAGTATGACCCACCCCGGTAAAAAAGGTCCTTGTAAGTCTCAGTTCCCAGTTGACCTTTCCGGTGCTAATTGAGCTTTTCCGGGAAAAGTGATAATGGACCTTAAAAACGGGATAACTTGGGAAGTATTGGTCAGATATGGATGAAACTTGGTAGGTAGGACTCCCATGTGACCTCAAACCGATTATGGGGAATTTGACCCCGGGTGACCCCGGGTTGACCTTTATTTGACCTTTTGGACTTTAAGCTCCAAAACCCTTAAATTTAGCACCGGAAAGTAGCCCAAATTGTATGGTTTGTAATCAGCAAGGTTAATAAAGCTATGTTATTGATCTTGGGTGGTGATTGGCATGTATGGGAATTTAGTTAGGCATTTCCCTGAATTCGATGGAATATCTTGGCTTAATGTATAGCGGTATATTGTTGGAATTATTACGAGTTGGCTAAACAAACATTGGTGAATAAACTATTAATAGAAATGCGTCAATGGCACAGAAAAGTAGTCACATATTATATTGGAAATTTAGACAAGGGAATAGAGAGTTAACTAACTTAATTGTTAGGAATGTATAGGATATTCCATTGGCTTCTGGGGAATGTTTTATTGGCTCAATTGGACCCCGGTTAAAGGAACGGCTTACCCTGAAGGTCGATTTGATTGAAATTTGAATAGGCTACGTATGGGAATTTTTGGATTATGATAAACGGGAAATTAAGTTCACTGGGAATTTATCCTAGGCATGGAAAAAGGAAAAAGATATGGGGTAATTAAACAAAGTCCTTGGGCACTTTGATATGTAAATATAGCTTGAATTAAGTTGAAGTTGCACTTGCTATTTGTTTAGCATAGCTTTGATTGGCATTTTGAACTTGGCATTTAATGTAATGTGGTAATGTTGGATTTATGAACTGGAACGCTGCGTAGGAGGCACATAGGTAAATGTTAAGACTTATACGGAATGACGGATCTCTAACTAAAACTAAGAGTAAATAGACATAAGTCACGGACGTTTCGGTACAGCCTTTAAGCAGCAGAACGATTTGGAGTTTATGGTTAACGAGTCGTATCTCCGAGTCATTGAGAACGGGTTAAGTGACTCGTTAAAGTGATTGTAGATTGGTTAGTGAATGTAAGTTAGGCTATCTAGAGGATAGCGGGATCGTTGTTGAACGATTGCAATTGATAGAAGTTCTCGAGGAGAACGTTAGATATTAGTTAGGTGTTAATTGAACTGCAGGAGGCAGTTAATTGAATAATATAAATCGCGGACCCATTCCTTTGAATGAATGATTAATTTATATTCCAGCCAATTGTAGGCTATTCTGTAGTTGGATTTGATTATTAGTTAATTCATTATTGTTATCGGAATTGTTGTTGCGATTGACTATTGTTTGCGAGCGAGATACAGTCGAGAGAGCACAAACCTAGGGGCAAGCAGCGTAGTATGATACAGAACGGCCAACCACCAAATCAACCCTTTTGGGATTGTAAACAGTACTGGGAATCGGTTGCCCCGCTGACCTCAGTATTAAAGGGAACATATTGCGGCGGTGTGAAATAGCGAGAGAGACCGGCCCAGAGATATTGTGAATTCCCCCACGTTTACACAACGGAAAAAAATGATATCAACTGAAAACTACACAAAACAATTTGAATAAAAATAGGTATAATAAAATGTGAGAAAATTTTCAAAAAAAAATCTATTTTATCGATTGAAAAAGTAACATTTTGATCCATTATTAATCTATCATAATTAATTTTTTTAAGGTTATGCCGACTGACAATGAAAATCCATTATGAGTGATTAATATCCATGGAACGTCGATGCGGGTTTGATTTTGGATAACTCGTAAAATTGTAATTCAAGAAATACCGAAAAAGTCATACTCAATGAAACTATTCAAAAAAAGCTCAGATCACACCGACTATTTTATTTATTTATTTGTTTTAATTGAAGATTTTTTCCAAATCGTGCTATCGTGTTTATCTAAAAACCACAATCGAATTATTGTTCAATATTCGCTTTAAATTCACTTCCCTAAAAACCAGTTTCAGTATCGTTAATGGTTGTGGGCTGGGGCGGATTTAGGGGGGGGGGGCTGAGGGGTGGTACTTTTTAAGAAACCCTTTGGTACTTTTTAAGAAACCCTCTTTTGGCCGACCGACCCTAAAATTTGTCTAAAGGCGCCTTCGGCGCCAATATTTACTATTTTTAAGGGGGGGGCGCACCGAAAAAAAGCAATTTTTTGGTCAAAATTTTCCAAAAAGTGCCTAAAAATGCCTTTTTTGACTGTTTTTTCAAAAATTTGCAGAAAAATTTCTGTGGCGCAGAAATTTTTGCCAAAATAGGGACAGAACAGTGCTTTGGGAGAGCTCAAAAAATCAATTTGGTCGACCTAAAAAAAGGTCGTCAAAAATATTCGATTTCTTTTTGAAAATCCGCCCCCCCCCCCCCCCTCGAGAAAATCCTAGATCCGCCCCTGGTTGTGGGGATGTATTGATAATATTTTCACAATAACTGAGGCCAATTAGTATTTAGGCCATTTATGCCATATGGAAACTCTTAATTCTAATCATCTAATGGGAAAGTTTGAAAAGTTTATTTCTAATCATCTAAAGTTTGAAAGGTTTTTTATTGTACTTGACATGTGTTCCAATCGTCTCGTCCCGACCACATTTGGGCTGTTTGAATTGTCCTTAAAATATTTTAGAACGGATTGGCGAAAATGGGTATCATTCAATGGTTCTGTATGTTTCTTTGCCCCACCATTTCGACTACAATTGAAGGAACGTTAACTCGTACCGACTGCAGGATTTTAGTTGCCCAGAATGACATGTGCGCAGCTCTGAAGGCACCTCTAAGCCTTGAACATTGATTGGAGCATTCAATGCAAGATCTTTGACTTAGATCCGTTTTCAAAACATGAAACTGTTTTTTTATAACAAACACTTAATTTTAAAACGCACTGCCTACTGTTTTTTCTTTCATTCAATACGTAGCCTATCTTGATGTATTAGATGGAATGTGTTTTTCAATCATAATTCAATTTGAAGCCAAAATTCTCACGCTTTGCATCACAGTCACTTGCTTTGCAAATCAATTGAGATATGCCATTATGCGAAAAAGTAGCGTTGCTTTTAGTGAATTAAACAACAATTTATTGGTCGAGCCATTTATAAATAAATGACTTTAATAATAAATAAACAAAAAACTCGAAAACTCAAACCGAAAATATGCCTCTCTCAGATTTGTGGACTTTCAAAAATATAGATTCTGTTTTCACGAAAACCAAAAGGCGAAGTTATGAGCGCTGAAGATTGTGTAAGGAGAGCAGTTGTTATTGACAATGGATCCGGTACAGTCAAAGCCGGCTTTGCAGACGAAGATAACCCACGGGCAGTTTTTCCTCCAATCGTGGGCCAACCGAAATTCGATCCCAAACTTTTTGGCTGGGAACACAAAGACACTTACGTTGGCGATGAAGCCCAGGCCAAACGTGAGATTTTAAGAAACAACAGAAAAACTTTAGAACGAGGAATTGTGACTAACTGGAACGACTTGGAAAAAATCTGGCGTCACACTTTGTTCAACGAGCTCCGAATAGATCCGGAGGAGTATCCAGTGCTTCTAACCGAAACATCTTTGAATCCGAAGTCACATCGAGAACGGATGACTCAAATTATGTTCGAGAAATTTGGAGTTCCAGCGATGTATGTTGCGGTCCAAGCAGTGCTGTCGCTCTACGCCACAGGAAGATTAACCGGATTAGTTCTGGACATCGGGGATGGTGCAACGCAAACTGTTCCAATATACGAAGGCTACTCAATTCAACATGCAATTCAGCTATTAGATTTGGCTGGAAATGATTTAACGAAGTATCTTGGGCAAATGCTTAGCGGGAGAAGGTTGAGCTTCACGACGACAACCGACCTAGAAATTGCTCGGGACATCAAAGAAAAGTTTTGGTACACAGCTCTCGACTTTGATCAAGAAATAAAACAAACAGAAAATTCAAATGAGATCAAGAAAACTTATGAGCTCCCGGATGGACAAGTTATCACAGTCGGAAACGAGAGGTTTCGTTGTCCTGAATTTCTTTTTGAACCCGAAATCTTAAGAAAACAGGCTGGTTCCGGAGTACAAAAGATGGTTTACAAATCAATTAAGAAAAGCAATGATGACATCCGGAATTACCTTTATGAAAATATAGTACTTTCTGGTGGCTCTACAATGTTTCCGCGATTCGATGAGCGATTGAGCAAAGAAATCACCAAGTTGAAAGATGATAATATAACGGTAAAAGTGCTTGCGCCACCAGAAAGGAATTACTGTACTTGGGTTGGTGGCTCAATTTTGGCTTCTCTATCTTCGCTTAAGCAGATGTGGATCTCCAAAGAAGAGTTCGATGAATTTGGGTCAACTATTGTACATAAAAAATGTTTTTAAGCGAGAAAATTTATATACATTTTTTGATTTTCCGATCAATTTTTCTGATCATCGTACATAATTATACTTTCTTTGTAATTTGCATTTTTCAAACTGATAACTTTTGAGATATGCTTCAAATTCTTAAGTAATAACTTAGCGATTTGAGGTTCTCACTTTACGTTTCAACTAAAACTCAGTATATTTCAACCGTCGCGACCAAAATCGAGTTGGATTTTAACCGTTTCGAAATAAAGTGATTTTCTCGACCAAAAATGCGCTCAACTTTGTGCGAACTAGTGCAAACATTTTTGACCAACTGATTGCATACGTTAGACAAGTTTCGAGTTTTGCGACTTTAATCACTGATTTCTGAACCAGCTGAACTATCCTTAATCTTCATGAGCGACCATAGTTCAGTCATGCTGAAAATGTAGCAGACACTTTTGCTCACTTTTGAGAGTTAAAACATTAAGTAGCACCTCGACCCTATTATTTGAGTTGAGATTAAGAAACCTTCAAAATCAGAAGCGCACTTTCGAAAGCTCTCTGTTGCCTTATTTTAGACATTTTTAGACCAACCAGTTTGATTTTCTGAGCGCCCCGAGAACCCTAAAAAGAACGTTTTTTGTTAAAATTTTCAGATCAAAACACTGCAATTTTTCGGCGCGCGCTCTCCAAATAAAAATTTCAGGTTGGTATGACCGGAAATGGAGGTCAAAAAATGCCAAAGGTGGTAGAGGAGTCGAATCCCTGAGAGGGAGGCGTCCCACAGCCCCTCCCACCTTATATCAACAAATGAATAGAATCATATAAAGTTGATCATCTTCTGACGAAGACTCAAAATTAACTCATCAGAATTTCGCATAAGCACTTCAGTCAGCAAATTGCCCGCCCATTAAAAATTAAATTGTACTATTTCAAAACTTTCAGCTGAAAAATGTTAAAAGAAAAACATAAAAAGTCACCCGGAAAAATACGTTCATTGATTGTTTTTGGCCGCAGTTATGTAGTTTGACCAGAGTAAAATAAAGTTTGATCATTTTGATACATAAATCAACCTGAGAATTGACCAGCTTATACTGTACCAATGATTATGTTTTATTTTTTATGTTTTTTTTTCTGGAAACCAAAATGCTGTCACTCAAGAAGTGAAACTTCTTGTCATCTTTCCTTCCTATGAATACAAACTTTTACCGGCAAAAAAAATATAAAACGGTTCGCGAATCGTCAACCTCTATTTTCTGAAAATTGATGGAACCAAATACAGTCATGGAAATTGATGGAACCAAATACAGAAAATTGATGGAGCCAACTCTAATAGAGTCATATAATACATGCATAAAGCCACGTGTCTCAGAAACCGAAACTTAGTTCTTTACTAATCAAAACAAAAGCTTTGAAACATGCTAAATATCTTTTTTTTCGAAGAAACCTTATTTAATAGGAATGTTGATATATAATCCTTTAAAGTCAAAACTCACAAAAAAGTTTTAAACTGTTAAAGCTAGTTTAATTGTTACGGCTGAATCGATAAAGCTACAACAACTAATAGGGAGCAATGATTTACAAATAGGTACCTTAAACATTGATCTGCAATGCAAATGTTACAGCAGGCTCCCTGATTAAAAATTTTGAGGGCAAGGGTCAGGCCATGGGCATTGGGAAGACTTCATTTATTAAATTTAAAAAATTGCAGAAACCGCCAAAACTGATGGTTCAATAAAGAGGTAACCAGGAACAAAAAGTTTCAAACAAACCACTAAGGTCAAGTGTATATTGCAAAAAAATTCAATCATGCTTACCATTGCTGAAGTCAGTTTTCTCCAATGAGTTGAGGTCAAAATTGACTCACAAATTGCCCTATAGTGAATGTAGTATCACCTAGATTGGACAAACTGAGCTATTGACCACAAGACTTGTGGATTAAAATAAATGACGGCTCACTGTTAGGTCTCCATCTTCAGCAGAAAGAGATAAAGGAAAAAGTGCAGATGTTAAATTGTAAATTATAAAAATTACAGTAATGGAACTAGATCTAAACTAGTCTTTATCATTGGTTATTATTATGATATTTTATCTTTATAAATTATTAAATACTAACCTCTCATACTCCATAAACTAACAACCTATTTATTTGTAAAGTGTTGAAACTACTTGTAGTTTCAACACCGGAGTAATTTGAAATAAACTTAAAATCCAGTTGTTCTCATTCTGGAACTAACTCGCGTAAACCGGTGTACACAAGATCTTTTGAGACTAGGAGATAAAAGAGTAAGATTAAGATCGGTATTAGACTAAGAAGTTGCACGAATCTATCCGGCCGAAAATAAAATAGCAAGACGAGCAGACGGTGTACCTTATCTGAAATTACTCTATGAGTACAGTAACTTATACAGAACTCATCTGGTGCGACCAAAAGTCTTGAACAGACCTTATTTAACCTAGCATTAGACAAAAATTAGATTAGAATTAGACAAATACAACATTTCATAAAAATGTTATATGACAAAAACTTAGTAGATATGTCTCTACGCCTCAATAGATCAGATCCAATATTCCGAACAATACGAGAAAAACAGCTAATCGAGCAAGGGATAAAACAAATTGCACTCCCCAAGATAGGATGTGGACTGGATAAACTGCAGATTATTCAGTTTTTAACATAATTTTCGACGTTTTCCGAAAAAGTGACATCAAAGTCTTCATATATGTCTAAACACCACCAATCCACCCCTCAAGATCGTTGGAAGACTAGTGGAAACGTGTCAGAAGCCCGGCGGAGGAGGAAATGTTTAAAAGCCGAGATCTCAAAAATCACCCTCTCCGGCCATGTATTAAGATGGGGAATAAAAAATTCTCACGTCCCCCATCAAACTTCTGAACGGATTTTGAAAATTTCACTACCAATGATCCCAGGACTACCAATGAGGAGGCTCCAGAAGCTCGGCGGAGGAGGAAATGTTTAAAAGCCGAGATCTCAAAAATCACCCTCTCCGGCCATATATTAAGATGGGGAAAAAGTAGTACGACAAAAACGAGATCAAACTTTTGTATTTAGGATACTCTCAGCAGTAAATTTAATTTTTCATTTAATGAATTAATATTTGAAATGAAAAATACTTTCAAATAAACTTTCATGGCGCTACTCTATTAAATGTACAATAACGACTGATAATAACGACACTTGTCGCTTTCCTTAAATTAAATGACATCTTGAAAAAACATTTATTAAATATAAAAATACAAAAAATGGTTAGTATAAATCATAAATTGTTAGTATTATAATTCAACACATCATCCCAGTTTCATCACCTAAAACATAAAAGCGAATTTCAAAAGTTGACAATCATCAAAAATCAAACCCAACCTTAACGCTCTAATTTTAAACTATCAAGGCTTATCCTTACTTTCACTTAAATTAATTTCAATTAAATAACAGATCATCAAGGCTTCCCTTGGACCTTTAAATTAAATTATATTTTAAGTTTTAAATTTCTTAATATTTAAATCTCTGATCATCAGGGCCTATCCTTGGATCAAATAGAACAATTTTGTTCTCCCCCTCCACATTTATTTAGTGTCTAACGACCTCAAACGTCGATTCACTACCCAACCCTTATCAAAGACCCCGAATTAACAGAAAATTTTCGAAAAATTAACCATTTTGTTTAAGCTAAACAGTGAAGAACTTCGGTTACTCATGCTTCACTTGA